TAAAAGAAATATATTGTATAAAAGAAATATATGCTATAGATAACATAGATGACATAGAAGACATATATGATTTCTTAAGGATCGATGTCATCCTTTAGATCATCATCATCTATGTCTTATTTCATGTAACAATATTAAAACAAGGTGGAATTCAACTTACTATATGTTGGAAAAGTGAAAATGAATGGAACTTGCCTTAAATTTACTTGCTGTGTATAATGAAGAAATTAGTCAACGATTTCCTAATAATGAAGATCACAAAATTATTAATGTATGTAATTCAATTTTAAAATTAATATTTATAAAAAAGTTATATATTCTAATAACTTTTTATTTTTTTAATAGGATATAATGAATCTCTTAAAGCCAATTGAACGCGCAACTTGTCTTCTTTCAGCTTCAAATTATGTAACACATGGTGATATATGATCAGTTTTTTGGGTATTTAAGAACATTTGATTCAATATAAAAATGATGATGAATTTTCACAATGTATAATGGCAAATGCAATTTATCAAAAATTAGAGGATTATTTACCAATTTTAGATAAATCATCACAAATATCTTCATTATTAGATCTAAGAGTAAAGCTATCTGTATTTAAAGGTGAAAATGAAATTAACAAAGCAAAAGACTTAATATTAAAGTTAAATGGGTATCTCTTAACATTTACTTCAACCATAGCTTCTATATCAGATGATATTACAAATACAAGAAATTTTTTTAGGTAATTATGAAATAATAATAATTTTACTTCAACTATTTCATCACAAGTATATAATATTCAAGGAGAGCTAAATAGATATTTAGCAATACTATTAGAAAATCAAATTGATCCTTTATTATAGTGGCAATCACAACAATAAGGTTTTCCAATTTTAAGTCAAATGGCAAGGGATTATTTGTGCATTCAAGCTACAAGTGTAGCTTCAAAACAAGCTTTTTCAGTTACTGGATTAGTTATTTCACCTTTAAGAAATAGATTAGAAGTAGAAACAGCTAGGGCAACATTGTGTTTAAAGAGTTGGTTTCGTCAAGGTGTTTGTGAAAAATGATATAATTAATGTAGAACAGTAATTAGTAAAGAAGGAAGGAACATTTTTTTTAATATTAAACAATTTAATTTAGTATATATTTGTATTCATTTATAATAAAAACAATTTATTTTTGTCTTCTTTAAAATTAAACTTTAATACTATATGCTAACTAAGGACCGGTCCTTGGACCGGTCTTATCAATCGGTCCGGACCGAAAAGGAAACACATTTTGGACCGGACCGGACTGGTAGGACCGAATATACAAAGACCGGTCCTAGGACTGACTTATGGACCGGTCCGGTCCTAAAAAAGATAAAAGACCGGTCTTTTTGGACCGGACCGATCCAACCCTACTTACAGACTAGGTCACAACAGATTTATTCCCGCTTGTTGTGAGGTATTCCATTCAGATACCACAAGTTAGTGCAAGTATTATATATAGTACAGGAGGTTGAGTCTCCAATACTGGACATGAGCTTCGATTTCGCTTGGTGGTTAATACGCGTAAGGAAAACGAAAAGGGCAACAAAAAGGAATCTACTAAAAGAAAACAAGGTAAAACCAAAGCGGACTGATACGAAAAGATAAAAATTGATTTACGTATTGATATGGTGGGCTATGATCAAAACAAAAACAAATTCGTTCTACTCGTTAATTTCTTAAAAAGAGAAGAAAAAAAGGAAGAATGACATCTCGCTACACCATAGAAGGTTAAAAGAATATTTGGTTACTGAAACTTTTAGCCTGCTTTCTCTTGTGGAATGTAATAAAATATCTTAATAGAAAAGTGAGGTTGACGAAGTATAAAGATAAGAAACGCATGAGATCTTATTTTGGTTCAACGGTTCAAAGGATTATTTCAGAAAAGGCCTTTGGGCAGAAAATGTATAACTATGTATATTGGTGGGTGGGAATATTTGGGTAATTTCTAAACGGACTATGTGGGTATTAGCATCACATACAATCAATCACACACATTTAGTTATGGCTATCCGCTCAAACATGCTTCCTGTCAATTTAAAACACTTCTAACAGAATGTGTTGGTTGTATTTATAATGATTCGGTCGCATTTAGATCAAATAATTTTCCAAACAATCATAGACGCTGTTTCTTATCTCTAGAACGAATTAAAGACATTGTGCCTAATAAATCTTTGTCATTGATAAATTTGATGAAATTGGAAAGTTTTGCTTGTATTTGTGCTTAATATAAATGCGTAACATTATAAAATAATGATGAATGAATAATGGCTGCAAGGGTACTTTTTGATAAATGCAACAATGATCGAAAAAGCTTTCGGTATTTTTTGTGCTAATTTTCGAGGGCATCAAAAAATCAAAATCAAGCGCAAAGGGATAAATTTAATTCGTTTTTTACTTCATAACCAACATAACTTTTATTATAAGAGAAATGTAAGATAGATATATTTGTTTTATTAAAGTAGAAAAATATTTATTAACGTTTTTTATAAACGCATGGTTTTAATAAATCTTTTGCATGATACAATTTTGACTTTTTCGTTTTTCGAGGTTTTGTTTTGACAAAATCAAGCATAATAAACATTACATTTGTATCATCCTTGGAAGTAAAGAAAAAAAAACAAGAATTAAACCTTTACTCGTACAAATTAACAGTTTAAATCGATTACTTTTCTTACCTTCTTTATTAATTTAAATCCCAACTCGGCAAGAACTTCGATAAATGAATTAATATCAGAAAACCGACTTACCACCTCAGCAATTTTTAATTCTCCACTATTTACATAAATTGCAAACATTAGAACAATTTATATATCCAAAATTTGAATAAACATGGGATTCAGAGACTTACCTTGGTTTCAATACACGATATGCTTCCTTGAGAAACTCAACATAATTAGTTCCCATAAGTGATAAACAAAATATTACGACATCAAAAAAGCTATCTGGAATTGGCAACTAAATATAATAAACGTGATTTGATTAATAAAGAGATTAATTATTATATGCGTGAATTTAATTCATACCTTTGCAATATCACATGCAATCACTTTGTCGTGTTTGGCGATCAAATCGAATGAAAGCACTTTGTTTGGTGCTTCCAATCCTATCTTACCTTCGCCACAACCCAAATCCGCGACAATTATTTCTTTAGGCTTTTGTTTCAGACATGACAGTAAAATGTCAACAGGATTATTGGGCCATGATTCAACTGCTGAACGAAATCCATCATGATACTATCAATAAAAGTAAAATTCTACCATGAATCAATTCGTAATTTGCGTAAAATTTATAAAATCATAATAAAAACTTATAGATTTAACCTCATCAAATAATTGAGGATCTTTTTGAAACATCTCTAAAGCCTTTGATCCTGTTGTCGTATATAATTGTTCATTTATCCAACGGAATTTACCCTCAGATAGTTTCTTTTTCATTTTTTCTAACGTTCCCTTTTGTTTCTTGTTCTTTGGTTTTTCGGATTGTGGTATTATTTCTTCAGTACCTTCTTCAGATAAATCGAAATCATCAGCATTCGCAAATGGATTTTCTGCGTTCTAAGAAAAAAGTAAATTATTAATTAAGTTAAACCAAAGAAATTCCAATTAAAAATTGGGGATTTTTTTTTACCTGTTGTCCTGATTTAGTTAAATTGACTTGCTTTTTCTTTTGCCCAACTTGTTCTTTCAACTTTTGACCTTTGGCCGCCGATTTTTTCAAATCATTACTTTTCCGTGAATTATCTTTATCAAACTTTTTTGATTCTTCATTCTTATCTATATTTTTATTTTTTTTATTTTTATTATTTTTATTAATTTGGTCCTTTCTTTTGGTTTTGTTTTGATCAAATTTTTCTTTTTGATTTGCATTATTTGTATCATTTAATTTACAATCCTTATTCTTTCCATTATTTAACTTCTTTTTTTTTATAGGTAACTCTCGTTCTTGTGATACTTTTCGTTTTTTATTAGTTTGTTCTTTTTGAGGTACTATTTTTCCTAATTCCCAGCCAGGAACATCAAATAAGTTTATTGACATTACTATAGAAAGAGAAAAAGGTCGAGAATTTTCAGTATTTTTTTTTTAAAAAAAAACTATCCCCTGTAGTGGTATTTAAGATTACACAAAAACAGGTTATTTTGGGTTAGTGTAGATTGATACTAAACTTGGATCTAAATCTCCTAACCCTACACCCAATTTATTATTTATAAAAAATAAAAAATTGTTTGCCCACAGATTTAAATAGATCTTATAATGTTTTAAATAAACAAATATGTAAACAGTTCAGAAAAATTATTAAATTAATAATTCTAACAATGATTAATTATTTTTTCTTTTCTTGCATTAATTATTTATTTTATCCTGTAATAAGTAAGTAATTATCTTGTTCCTTGACCATTCAACATTCCACCTCCCGGATTTTCATTAAAAGGTATTCCATTCACATTTTCAACGTTATCCCTTAATTCATTTGGACGCGATCCTTCACCAACATTTCCTTCATCAAAATGTCTCCATTTCAACCAGTGATAATATTGGTTTGAATGAATTTCTGACGCTACATCATAATCCTTTAGATATTCGCGAAATTTATGATTTTGGAGAAGATCAAGAAAGTGAAGAGCGTGTGGGTAGCTATATTTGTTACAATTCAAATTAATTAATATTTTCATGATAACTTTTTTTAAAAAAATAATTGTTTGCTTCTTACATTATGCATTTGGCATATTCGGGTCTCTTCCAATATTTTAAATATTCTAAATAATTAAGAAATGTTTGATCTTCAAAATATTCTTTCTGGGCTAAATCTAAAATAATTTATAAAAAAATCACTTTCATTAAACCAGAACAAAAAAAAAGTTCACAGTAATAAATTATAAACAAATTCAAACCGTTAAGGTACCACGGATTTGCTAAACATTGAATGAATTCCAATTCAATTTGAAAGCGTCTTTTATCCTGTTTTTCTGCTTCTGAGGTTGTTTTACTTGCTAAAAGCTTTCCTTCAGCAAGTTCTGACATTTTCTTTTTTTTTGTGCAAACTAGGGAACGGGAACCGTTGTTAAGTCCGGAGTGATATTACTGCTTTTTGCAAAAAAAATTTGATTTCTGCTAACGGAGGAATTCGATTTATCGTTGGAAAATTTAAAACAATAAACTGAAAATTTTAACTCGTTTTGGCGTAAAACGTGATCATAATGAAGATCATACAATCACGTGTCAACACTATCGAATAGTAAATAGTTGATAAAAAATAAATTGTCAATGATGTTTCCGATGTTTTTGTGGAAATTTATAGTTGAGAAAGGTTAGAAAATGTTTTTGATCAATAATTCAAAAGACGGAAATGTTTATGTGTAAATTCTTAATATTGAAACTTGAATTCTGAATCTTCTAATAATTTAATGGAATAAATTATAAGGCTTGTCCTAAAAACGAATACTATAAATATCCAATTAAATATACTAATATTATTAATCATGTGCCGATCAAAATTTCTTTATAAAAGACGTCTCATTTCTCTTCATTACTTCAACCTAAATCCCCTTCAATGAAGGTTTGGAATCTTAATTCTGGCCTAAAGATTCGGGCTAACTCTCTGACGAATTTCTAATCTAGTTTATTACTATAACTTCGTTCCGGACTAACTAGGAAACCATGACAATTTTTGTGTTACCCCTTCGCTCCGGACTAATAAACTGGTGGTGGTTTTAGATGTTACATGTTACACCAAAAGAAAAAAATTTTTTATAACAGTTCAATTCAAGGTGGCTTTTAATCGCCCTCGCATTGCTCCGATTATTTTATTTTATTTTTTTTTATTATACATAATATAGGATTTTTTATAAAGTCATGTTTACGAGGCTTTCGGGTCAGGTTGTGAAAAGACCTTTGAAACAATGGGTTAATGCTTTTATGCAGGTAAGTAACTTCTCTATATACACACACACATGAATAAATATATATTATATTTTATATATGTTTCTTTTAAAAAAAAAATAAAAATAAAAGATAAAAATAAAATTTAATAGCTGGGACGTATCATTATTCTATTATAGGCCCGAGGTGTTTCAGGTACTGCCGGTGCTCCTCAGTCGGTTCGTATTTCTATAGTACCCAATTTCATTTATTGGACTTAGGTAGTTTTTATGTACCAAAAATGTTACTCGTACCGTTTCATGTAACTGTTGTTCAAACAGCAGCAAAAAAAATATTGAATTAATAAGAAAGAATTCATCTAAAATGAATAAAAGTTATCGATTCAGATGAGATGGGTTCTCATGCAATAAAATGATTTTAAAATTATTTATAATTATATATACATTATATATTTACGTATAATTATTCGATTAGAATACAAAAGCCATTGCTGCCACAGCGGCTGTAGCAACAACTGCAGCAGCAGGTTTGGGTTATTATTTTTATGCCAATCCCATTCATGCCAATATGGAAGAAGAAGGTCTTCATCCACCCGCATATCCTTGGTCTCATCGCAGTCTATTCGGTACCTTTGATCATGCCAGGTGAGATTACTCCCTAGAATGGAAATCGCGATAATTGAATCAATCATTTTTTGACAGATTAGAGAATACCAAAAGATAAAAATGTTAATGCCTTTGGGATATTGGAAATTCAATTCATTAAATTAATTGATTGTTAATCCTTTATTTTCCGTCTTTGTTACATAAATTAAGCATTCGACGTGGTTATCAAGTATATAGGGAAGTTTGTTCCGCGTGTCATTCACTCGATCGTATCGCGTGGCGTAATTTAGTGGACGTGTCACATACGGAAGATGAAGTGAGGGCGATGGCCGAAGAATTCGAATACAAGGATGGACCGAATGAAATTGGGGATTACTTCGAAAGGCCCGGAAAGCTGTCTGATTATATGCCGCGTCCCTATCCTAATGATGAAGCTGCTCGCGCAGGTAATGGTGGAGCTCTTCCACCAGATCTTTCTTTGATGGTTAAGGCCCGTCATGGTGGTTGCGTATGTATACATGATACGAGATTGATGATTCGTTTCCATTTATTCTTTATAAGTGAATCAATATAATTCATTTTTTTTCCTCCTCCTCCTTAGGATTATATCTTTGCTCTTTTAACCGGATACGTCGATCCACCGGCCGGTGTTGAAATTCGTGAAGGTTTAAATTATAATCCGTATTTTCCTGGCGGTTCGATCGCTATGGCTAGACTTTTATATGATGGCTTAGTTGAATATGATGATGGTGAGTCATAAAGATTGTTAACCACATGAATGAATCTTCATTAATGATTTAAATGTAAATTTCGATAGGTACCCCTGCGACGACGTCTCAAATGGCCAAGGACGTTACGACGTTCCTTGCTTGGGCCGCAGAACCCGAACATGATGACCGTAAAAAAATGGGTGTAAAGGCCATAATTATTCTATCCGCTATGACTATTTTGTCAATTTGGATTAAACGAAACAGATTTGCATCTCTCAAATCAAGAAAATTTTTGTACGTATTATTCTCATTCATCATTTTTATGTGTTTTCTTTTTTTTAAATGGATTTTTTTAATTTATTTTAAATCTAGATACGCCCCACCCAAATAATTCCAAGGGAAAGAAAATAAATTAATTATGGAATATTTTCAAGAACATTTTAGATTCCAAATAAAACTTTTGACAGAGGAATTTGTCATTTTTAACTTAGATCACACTGTTAATCTCTAACAAAATCATTATCACATTTTTATTTCCTCAAAAAAAAAACAAAAAAAAAGTCATAACCAAGAGAATGTATTTAAATAAAAATTACTAAAATTATTTATTATTTTTGTTTATATTTACATAACGTATTAGTCGATTTGTATATAACGATATACTTATTTAATTCAAGCTATTGAGAATTATGAAATCTTCATGTTAGATATGATTTTATGATTTCAGATTCAGCCATGGAAAATCTTTGGGAATTAGTTCTGGTATATCATTTATATACCCAACGAGCCATTCTAATGCATCCACAAGACCTTTAAAAAAAAAAAAGTTCGTACGAATTGAATAATTAATAAATCAACCATATAAATTTACAAAATAGCGTTTAATCGAACTTACGAGGCCCTGGACGATTAAACATCTAATATAGGAAATATAAACGTTATATGAAATTTTTTTTATAATTAAACATTTAAACAGAATTAAATTAACCTGATTTCCATCAACTAGAGCTATTTTAGTGGCGTTTTCGGCAATTTTTGGCCACCATTCTGAAGGTAATAATGTTTCTTCGTATTCTTTTCTAGTTTCATCAAGGTTTAATCCGCAAGGACAAACAATAAGAATTTCCGGTTTAGTATCAATTACATCTTGCGGTGGAACGCGAAACCTTTGTGAGAAAAGAAAATTAGCCATGATTTGATATCGATTCCTTCATTCATAATAATAATTAACATACGATGGCGGAGCTCCCATTTCAGCGGTCTCACCATCCTTACAATCATTTAATACTTGCACTCCCTTTTAAATTCAAAGAAGTTAAAATAAATAATAAATCAAAAAAAAAGAGAGAGAGAAATTTTAAATTACTTGCATTACTCCAACGAATCATTTGCGGTGTCCAATGACCTCCTAAATAGATCGGAGAAGTCCATTCCAAGAACGTTACATGAGCGCGTTTTTTACCATTCTTATGACTTTGAAATGCAACTTCTCGGGCATGTTTTATACGCGACAATAACTTTGACCGAACTAAAGTAGATTCGTTAACCATTTCAAGTGCCGAACCAACGTCACCGATTGATTTGATGACATCCTGGTAAATCCAACAATTCAATCAACATTAAATTGAAAAATAAACGATGAAGTATATTAGATTCTTACATCGAGCGACATAGGATTCAAAGTCACAATGGTTGGAGCTGGATTCATTTCTTTTGCGATTTGTTGCACCATATTTAAATCGACAGAGCATACATTACATAGATCCTAGAAAAAAAAAAGGCTAAAATGACGATAATTCCTAAAAGTAATCTTATAACTAACTTTGCTTATACCATTTCCAAGAAACCATACCTGAGTAACTACTATATCCGGATTTAGACTTTTCAATTTGTTAGCATCCAAGGTATAAAGACTATCTCCCTGCGCAAGGAATTGAGAAACTTGTGCGTCTACCTCAGCAGACGTTGTAAATTTGGTTCTATGATTAAAAAAGTCCCAAGGTTTTTTTTAACACTTACAAATTGGAAGTAATTTTCTTTACACCCAAATTGTACATAAATTACTTTGGTGCAGTAAGAATCGGCAACTTAGTGATCGAGGCTGGATAATCATCCTCATGACTTCTTCCTACGAGTTGAATACCCGAATCATTACCAGCGATTAAGGCAACTATTTCAGCTGCAGAAGGAAGGAGCGAAATTACTCTCTTTGTCGTTCGTAATGACATTTTATGATAATTTAACAATTTGAATTATAGAGATCTTTTTATATGAAAAAACCATGTCATCCGGTGTGATGATTTTTGTAGTGCTACAATTATTGGATAAATCAACAAAATTTTAAATGTGCGGTATTTTTGGCACATACCATAACAATGTCTGTACATGATCACACATGTATGTGAGTTTGTAATCATACATTGGTCACACCTAATAATTATAAAAAAATAAACGGAAAAATATCCGGTTTCAAAAAAAAAATACCGACAGATTTGCTTTCCTTATCGCCTACCTTTTATTAGGTCGTAAAACCAGCCATAAACATATTAAAGGCTTTTTACGCAAATCCCGAGTCTCTCTTCTTAAAAAAATGTTTTAATTGTCAAATGTCAAGTTTTTCAGAACGCCACTAAACTTTTTTAAGAAATAACAAAATTCAAAACAAGTAACGAACGATGCAATAGCACATCAAAGTCGTATCAATTTCATGATATTCTTCTTTAATTCGTTATAGTTTCACGTGCGATATTAAATGTAAAGCAATATTCAGTATTTATTTCTAAATCGAGAATAAAGATAATGCAATCTAATTGATATTCTATCACAACTAAATTAAAATTTTGTTTATATAAAGATGTTCGGAGTATGAATTTTTTTTTTTATTTTTATTTTTTTTTTTTTTTTTATAATTTTCTTTTTAAAACAAAAACCATAAATTTAATTTACCCTCGTAAAGAAATTAAGAATTATAGAATTAATTATTATGAAATCTCAACCTTTAAATAATCGACAAGATCCATGGAAAAACTATGGATCTACGCCATTAGGTATATGTAAAAAGGTTATCGTGATTAAATCGAATGTCACTAATCAATCATTTCTTAAATAATAGTTATTGATAGTGCTGAGGTAGATGATTTACAAGATCATAGAGATCGTAAAGGATCAAATTGGTCTGCTTATATCAATATCGTGTAAGTGCATGATCATATAAAATAAAATAAAATTATTATAATATAAAAAAAATAATAAATTTTTTTATTTGTTAATAGATGTGTTGTTGCCGGATCAGGAACTCTTGGTATTCCATATGCTATACAACAAGGAGGATGGATAACCATATTATTATTAATTCTTTCAGCAACAATGAATATCTATGCAAACATCAAATTAATTGAATGTTTATATAACAATAATGAAATCCGCCGTATTTCAATTTCACAAGTATCTTATGATGCATATGGAAAGATTGGGTTGGGTTTTGTTTCTTTCTTCTTTAATGCATTAAGCATAGGATGTCCGATACTTTATTTAATATTATCGGGTGAAAATTTTCAGATATTATTCAAGGATAATTTGGGTATAGATTTGGGAATGGAAACTTGGGTTGTTATCTGTGGAAGTTTCATGTGCATTCCTTTTGTGTTACTTAAATCCATGAAAGAAACCTCATGGTTAAGGTATTATTTCTTTTTTTTTTTTCTTTTTTGACGTAGACTTCATTTTAAACAAAAACAAAATGAATTAACCCTCTTTGCATATTCGAAGTATTTTTGGAGCTTTAACAACGGGGATGGTCGTGTTTGTGGTATTTTTTACTTCACTTGCGGATTTACCAAATAATCGAGATAAAGAACATCAATTAATTAATCTTGAGAATATACCAATAGCTTTGGCAACAGTATTTTTTAGTTACGGTGGAAATATCGTATATCCTCACATTGAAGCAAGGTAAACCAACCTACTTAATGGACTCTTCATATTATTTCAACTTTCATATTAATCCCATGTTAATTTAGTATGGAACATCCAAAAGAGTGGCCAAAAGTTTTTAGCCTCGCTACCGCAACAATAACAATTCTTTATCTTTTAATTGGAGTTTCAGCATATTTAACATATGGAGATTCAACGTTATCGCCTATTTATAAAAGTCTTCCACCAGGTTTAGCATTATCAGCCACTATTATGATGATCTCAATACATATTTTGCTAGCATTACCAATTTACCAAACAGCTTTTGCGCTTGAGATTGAAGATTATATATCAATTAATATTGCAACCTTGGGTAAAACTCGTGAATTTATTTATAGAGCTATAATAAGAATCATTACGGTATCTTTTACTATTTATGTAGCCATTGCTGTACCTTATTTTGCCAACGTCATGGCTCTACTTGGTGCTCTTGGTAATGGTGTATTATTAATTGTTATGCCAATTTTGATTTGGATTAAATTATTCGGTTGGGATTCCCTTAATGGTTGGAAAGAAAAATCTTGGGTAATTTTTGTTTTAATATTTGCGATTTTTGGTGCTATAGTTGGTACCTTTGAAGCTGTCTCTGCCTTGTATTCGGATATAAGCCATAAAAAGTAAATTTGATTGGTTGAAATTAATGATCGACGGTCGATTATCATTATTCGAAAATGAAATTTATAGAAGGAAAAGTGTTTATTTATAATAATGTTTTACAATTTTCATATTAAATAATTGAAGTTTTTTAAAATAGATGAGAAGAATCAAAATTTTAATTATCTGTTAATCATGAACAATAAATATAATAATAATAAAAAAAAAAAATAAACGTTAAAATAGCAAAGTTATATTATTATCTATTTTATTTTTTCTAACTTCTTTCACTCATTAATTTAATTCTATTGATTTAAATTTATGATTTTTAAAACTAGCCAGTAAATTTTCATCCAGTATCCACTGGGTATGAAGGCGATATAAATGTGAAGTAGTCGAATGATTTATTGATAGTAAATATGATTTAAAATAAGAATAATATTTAGAAATTTATCAAATAAGATATTGTGTAATATAATATAAAAATATAAGATCATATGACTATGAAAATCAGTATTTGCAACATGATTAAGTTTTTAATATTCTAAAATAACGCTTTGATCAACTATGGGTTAAAGTGAGATATGGAAACATTATTACAGTTTATATAACTGCTAAGCATGATGTAGGCCTGGCTGGAGACGAATATATTTTTATCTAGAGCAATACAAACATTTGATATATTTAGGTTTTAAGTTTTATGAACTTTTAAAGCAAAAGAGTTTTGAATAGGAAATCAGATTCAACAATAGCTATTTCTATAAAATTGAAAGTAGTGGAATTACTTATAAATGTTAATATCTATTATTAATTCTTTGATAGAGAAGGTAAATTAAATACATTCTTTTTGAAGGTTAATATTAATAATAACATCTATTATACTATTGCAAATTCTGTATTCTATAAATTATTTAGATATATTACTTAGAAATCCAGTTGTAATCATACAAATAGAGGTAAGTTTATCTTTTCCTTAAATTGATGATCAATTTTATATGGTATTAATTATTAGAAAATTTGAGTATGATCATTTAGTAATAATATAAAGGAATATTTTTATATTATTCATTTAAATTTGAATTATTTTAAAGAGAATGATAGAAAGATGATTAGTTAAGATATTCTATTCATATTAATATATAGTTATATAGTTTTGTAAATTAGTTAAGAAATTAAAATACAAAGATAGAAATTTCTACAGTATATTAATGTTAAAAAGCTTTATAATTGAGTTTACTTTATATTAGTATATTTAATAATAGTTATTAATAGAAATATAGGGTTTTATTTTCGATTTTGAAGTAATAGTACCTAATTATTATATCTTTTAACTATTTATGATGTAATTTTATAACTCATTATGATAAATTTAATAGGTTATTATAGAAATTATAACAGTATAATTGAGTAACATTTATAATATTAAGTATATATAAGGTTTCAAATTTGAGAAGATGAGATCATCAGAAGTATTTTATGATTAAGTTATTATAATATGAATTTTTGTCATCTTCTTTTATAATGTAAAGAAGAAGTATTAAGTGTAATCTTATGAGAAAAAATTCAGTAGTAAAGTATTTATAGTTACTAATAATCAGCATATTTAATATTCTAAGTGAAAAAGTATTAGATTTATTGAGCTGAACCTTTGTGCAATAATATATTCTTTTAACAAATCATTTTTGTAAATGTTAAATATATAAAATAATTTTGTTATATATTTCATTATATAGTGTGTAAACTCTTATTTATAATATATTATATATTTATATAAAAGTTTCTTATCAATTAAACATTTGTATACAATCTAAAATTACCATTTTTATAATAAATTATTGGCTTATTTTTGCATATTTGATTAAGTAATATAAAATATGATATTTCTCATTACAAGTGTAAATTTAATTTATCACAATTATAATGTAAAGTTTAGATTCATACAAAGGATTTAGCATCATAAATCAAATAATATTATTTGTAATCATATTTTTAATTGTATTAGTAATCTAATAGTAGCTATGTATATACACTATATTTTAATTTTAATATTTGATCTAATTAAAAGTTAGTAGTATTATTAAACTTAGTAAAATGTGACTTTTTGTAAAATTTTTTCTTTAAAGATAAAAATTTGTGAATGAATAATAGCATAATAAAAAGATCTATTAATAAGTAATGTATCTTTATTATTATTATTAAAAAAATGCTATCTATTAGTTTTCAACTATGCTAAGAATTATAAATAAGATTAGAAGGCTAATTTTTCCTAACATCACATTTAAATAAAATTGTTTTTACTAATAAATATTTTTTATTCTTTTTCCTTAAACTGTAGAGGTTTACAAATAAATTTGCTTATAAAATTTCTGAAATTTAAGTTGTATCTATTTTTTAATCTTTTATTAATTAACATAAAAAAAAAGCTTTTATTTTTAAATAATTCTTGAAGTATTGTTTTGAAGTAATTTTAATTTTTTTATAGTAAAAAGGTAGTATTTAACTACATTCTAAAAATAGACAATTTTTTATTCAGAATAAAATCAGTAAAAATTTTTTTATTCATCTTGATGATCACTTTAATTATTTGCTATTACTATGCATATTATTTACTAAAAATGTTAGTTTTGATATGCTTTACATTAACCAATAATATAAAAAAAGAATAAAATATAAAAAATTCAACTTTACATAGTAATGAAAACTACTAATTAATTATTATTATTCAGAAATTATATGAAATTTCTTAAAACATGAATATTGCTTATTATAGTATAATGTTACATCATATTCACTACATTAGAAATTAGATTAAAAAGGATTTTTTGAAGTTTATTCTCTATCTTTTTTAGACCTATAATAGCACTATAAACAAGCATCCCTATTTTCTTTATGTTCTGAAAAATGATTATTACCAACAAATCTCTTTAAAGATAATTCAAAATTATCTGTAACCCTATATTTTTTTATATTAATTTTTTCTTCATTGGGGTTTTGATCTTTAGAACTATATATTATTCACTTTAAAGAATTACTTTAATTAAGTCATAAACTAAATATAACCTAAAATCCTTATAATTATCATATAATTCTAATTTTTTATAAATGAGAAAGGAGTTGATGATAGAAGTATCAAGTAGTTAAAAGAATAGCAATATCTATATTTTCAAACGGGAAGTTATATAGAATAATACTTTATAACTAGTCAGTAATATTCACATCTCTCATATGATAATTGTAATTGTTAATAATTTTTGGTATAGGTAAAATTATTTGAGCAGAATTTTTAAATATTAATTTGACTTTATTACTATTTATGCTAGTTTTTTATGGTTTTTTTCTATTCTTTTTAATTCTACTTTCATCTTTATTAATAACATGTATTATTATTAATATGATTACAAGACCATTATCAATCTATAGTAATAATAAAATAATAAAATATTATCTACTACTATGCTCTTTAAAAAATCTCATTTAAGATTTTTTTTTCTTTTTCCTTTTTTAAAATAATAGGAAATTTTGCTATATTAGTATAGACTATATCACATGCTCTATACCTTTATTTTGAAAAAAATTAATATAAATTGATACTCAAAAAATAATTATCTATAAATATATTAAATGCTTTACAAGATAATAGTTAACTTACTAAATAATAAACTTTAGCTCTAATTTTGTTAATATTAGGAATAAATTAATATCTGAAGTTTTAATTCGTGATATTAACATAAAGTATAAGTATAATCAGATTCATATAATGATAGAATTTTATAATCCTTTGGTATAGGTTTGTTCTTGATTCAGAATATATGACTACTATACTTAGAAAATTAAGTGATTATCTTATCTATAGATACATTTAAATATAAATATAAAGTTATTTTGAAGTATTATGAATATGTGATATAAGAAGTTCAAGTTTCATAAACATGTTTGACAGTTAAAGCTGAATACTACAATCTGAGATATGTAGATATTGCTTAATGTAATTTTTTTAATAAAAAAAATTAATTAAAGTTAATTTAAAATAATTGAATATAATTAAAAAATTACTTATCTATTGAAATTTAAATAAGGTTATTAGTTTAGTTATTTCATATGATGAATAATATATATCATCTTTTCAATAATCTTTAACAGATAAAAACTTAAATATACTTATATAGATTAATAATACTAATTATAATTTAAGTTCTTTGATTGTTAATTCAGTTCAATTATAACCTTTATCTGCTAAATTACTTTTTTCAATTTTAAACTATATACATAAGCATATATATTTGTATTATTTACAATAATTTCTATTTGTTGATCAAAAAAATTTAAGAAAAATAAGATAAGGTTGAACTTCTAAATCAATAGATAAATTTGAATGTACTTTGTGTAAGGATATACATGTTTAATGAAATAAAACTTTCTGATAATTTATAAATAGATTCAGTTTATATATTTTTTTTTAGATTTTCCTTTACCTTTCTCCTTTAATTTATCAGATTCTAATAAAACTTTGAACGGTTCAGATTAATCTAAAAATTTTCAGTTCAGATCAACTTCAGTTTAGTTTCAAATTACAAAAAATTCAATCTGAAAATTTTCAGTTCAATTTGGATTTTTTCAGATTATTAATCTAATCTGAACCAAAAAAATTCAAACTGGACTGAAAATTTTAGATTAATTTAAAATTTCAGATCATTTGAAATGATTGAAGTTATCATTCTAAATGAACGATTAAATTATTATTCCAAACGAACGATAAGAAAATCATTCAATTGGAATGATTAAATTATCGTTCCAAACGAATGATAAAAGAATCATTCATTTAGAATGATAAAATTTAATCATTCTAAATGAATAATAAAAGAATTATTCATTTAGAATGATGAAATTATTATTTTAAACAAACGATAAAAGAATTGTTCAAATGGAATGATTAAATTATCATTTTAAAAAAATGATAAAAGAATCGTTCGATTAGAATGATTGATATTATCGTTCTAAAAGAATGATAAGAAATCATTTGATTAGAA